ACCCACCCATCCACCACCCATCCATCCTCACCCACTTATCCATCCATCCATCCACTCTAGAAGCAGTGGCAGGCTCCTGACACAGTGTCAGGCCCATACAGTGAACCAGGTTGTCCTCACCCTCTAGGGGCTGACAGGAGCAGTTGGGGGTGATGAGGCGACCCAGCCTGGGGCTGGGGAGCCAGGGACTAGCCGGAGCTGCCTCCTGCTTTATAAAAGGACAATTTGCAAGGTGGGTGGAGCCTAGAAGGGAGATAGCACATGGAGTGGCACCAGGGTGACGTGGAGTCCAGTCGCAGCCTGCCCCCTCCTGCCCTCTGCCCTCCAGCCTGGCCCCCCCCCTTGATCCGTCTCCCCATTTGACAGCCTCAGAATGGGGATTAAGTACGCAAATGGCTCCACCCTTGATTTCTCACTGCTCCTCCTCCCCCTCTTTTCTCTTCTTCCTTTGTTTAAAAAAGCAAACGTGACTGCTATTACTATGTGCTCACATAATTGTTCTCGCCCATCTAGTGATGTTTATAATTTAATAGAAAATCAGGTCTTTTTTAGAGGCTGTTTAAAACATTGTCACAGATCTAAGTATCACAAAATCCACTCTAAGACCCATAGGTCTATGTGATTGAACTGGCTTTAGCTTTGCTCTGTCAGTATCATCACCATCTCTTTTATTTTTGTCTTAATAATTACTGGTGTCTTTTATTGTGATAGCGATATTTTGCATGATGTAAAAAAATCAACCCCAGAGAAGAGAATAGAATGAGACATGAATGTCTCCCCCCTCAGCCCACCCCCAGCTATGTGCCCCAAGGGCAGCCCCCATAATGGTTGCTGATGTCCCCAAGAGACCTTTCTGTGCCAAAGAGGATAAAGGTCATTACAAAGTAGTTCACAGAAAAGACAGGCAAATGGGGGCTGGAGCTGCTTCTTAATTAAAAAATGAAATTCTATTCACCCCTCAGATAGGCAAGATGGCTCAAATCAAGCACTATGAGCACATGGTGAGCACCCACTGACTCACACTTTGGTGGGTGTCGAAATAGGTGCTCGCCTCGGAAGGGGCCATTTAAAAATGACTAGCAATTTTTTAAACTTCTGAGTACTTTTTGGCCAGGAATTCCTATGATGGGAAAGTTTATTTTGTTTTGTTTTGTTTTAATGCATTCTTAACCCCAGTGGAGAAGAAAAATATGCACCAGCTTTGTTCAAAACAGAAAGACAAAAACCAGAACAAAAATCAACCCTGATGGCCACCCATAGAAGACCCATTGACAAACTGTTGCAAAACCTATATTACAGAATAGTGTGCAAGCACGTAAAGAATGAGCTGCGCCTGGTGTGCTGGCGAGGGAAGCGCTCATGTTGCTGCATGAGTCCACTCACAAAAGCCTCAAGAGGCCTTACGCAACTGTGCTTGAATCTGTAGAGAACTTTTCCGGAAGTTTAATAAACGGCCGTAGCTAAGGTGACTGGAGGGTGACCTTCACGCCACAGGAAGAGGGCCTTTTACTGTGCGTGATAGGTGTTTGTGTACACTTTAATTTTTAAAAATTCTGTATGTTTTACTTTCGTTGTACTAGATAAAGGTGGAGACACACACAGATAGGATGTAAATATATATGCAAATATACTTATTTTTGTGATGTTGAATATTAATATATTAAATACTTTCATATTTGCAATTAATTTAATATTTGCTATTAATATATCATTGCAAATAGTCTTATAATGAAACGCCCACTTCCTGGAAATAGAAAACACTCTGAATATCTAAGTGAGCTATGTTCTTTATACATATGGCCTCTAATCCACCTCAGAACTCACGAGAGGCATCGCTAGCCTCAATTGACTGAATAGAAGGGAGCTTAAGGAACTTGCCTAAGGTTGAGTCAGTGACCCAGCGTGAATGGGAGCTGAACTAGAAGCCATGAAAGCTGCTTCCTGGGTCTAGAGCTGCCTCCAACTACCCAGTCACCTTGCATTAGTCCAGGAAAACTTGGTTTGTTGTATTCTCTACTTACCCCAAGAAGTAATCTTCAAGAATGGGAATGTGGGGAAACAGGGCACCCCAAGACAATACATTCAAGAGTTATAAGGTCATAGTTACAGGGACTTTGGAAAATCTGCTATGGAACAACTGTGAAAAGCCAGGCAGACTCCCTGGAGGAAGTGGTAAAGGACAATAGCACTAGCATATGAAATCTTTTATTTACAGAGCTAAGTCCTTTTTATATATTTTCTCCAAAGCGTCCCACTCTGAGATGGGGTTAGGAGTAGAAAGGGGAGAGACAGTGGAGGGGATATTGTCTCCTTCCACTTTGGAAACCAAGACACAGAGGCTATGAGTCCAGCTCAATTGCCCACAGTTATGCATAGCGCAGTTATGACCCCTCCCCCGTCCCTTGCTGCTCATACCCCCACCCCTACACTCAGTCATTCACTCTCTGCCTCCTCCCTTAGGTATGACAAATTACTCAACAGAGATGCCAAGGAATGTTTGCAAGGGGCTGATCAATATGAACCAATATAATCCCTTTGCCCTTGAGAACACTGCTGCGTGCTTTGAAAAGTGCAAACAGGAGGGGAATGAGTCCTGTCATCTGGGAAATCTGCAAAGGTAAGAGGGGTGCTCTGAGCTGCAGCAGAAATCTAGGTGTCCTGGAAGGTGGGGGGGATGCTGTTAAGAAGGCACAGAAGGACCATCCCTGGTGGCGCAGCGGGTTAAAGCACTAACACTAGGAAGCTAAGGCCACTTCAGCATGAGTTTGATCCCCGCCTGCCCCGGAGGTGACCACATGGTGCGGCAGACCTCTCCTGACCCGCCCGCTGCTCCCCTCAGCAGTGTACTTCATTTATCTGCCTGTTCTGCTCCCTGGTGAATCCTCTCACCGCCCCTGCACAGTTCTGTATGCACAAATAAATAAATCTTAAAAAAAAAAGAAAAGGCACAGAGCCACCAGCCCCCAGGCTCTCAGAAAATGCTGCTCCTATGCTCCTATCCCATACTTCTGCCATGCTTGACACCCACATTCCCCCTGAACATGGAGACCCTCTGATTTGTGTTGGGGGAGAATTGAAGTTGCAATGAGATTAAGTTAAAGCCTTTGCAGAGTCTGGTATGAACGAGTCCACTTTGTGCTTGTTTAGTGCTAAGCCATCCCCATCACCTAACTAACTCCCCAAGCTCCCACCTCCTAAGCCACTAACTACATTGTGGGTTAGGATTTCAGCATATGCATCTGAGGGAACACAGGTATTTAGTCTACAACAGGGAATTTTGCCAATGAAGCTATGTGAGCACTTTTCTACATGTCTTTTTACACACATACACATTCAGATCTCTTGAGGAAATACCCAAAAGATGAATTGCTGTCAAAGTTAGGCGCATGGTGAGTTTTAGCAAAGACCGCCATATCCTTTTCTGTGTGGCTGTTATCAATTTACATTTCCGCAGGCCATGTGTGAGAGTCCCGGTTTCAGACCCACATCCTGTGATACTTGGTATTATTAGTCTTTATTGTTAGCCATTGTGGTAAGTAAAGAGTGGTACCTCATTGATTTGGAGAGTATTTTTAGGGGACAGGTGTTATGCCATATAATCTGTACATTGGGTTGGACAGTGTGGTGATTTGCATATTTCAAAACACTCCCCAAACATACCTGTCGGGGACCTGCCCCGATCTCTCTTGGGCTGTTGAAGGGCAAACACAGGCAGGACCCTAAGGTGGGAACCATGTCAGCGAACAGATATTCCAAAAATTGGGGGGCAAAGGGGTGCGGGCATGAAGAAGACACAAGAGTCAGAGTTGGGTGCAAGTCTTCCTGCTCTGCCTTCAGCAGAGGTTTATTTTATACATTTCAAGCAGGCAGAGGGATGACATTAGCATATGAAATGGGCTGAGATCAAGATCACCATTTTTCTAAGAATAGTCTGGGGTCGTTTTGACCTTTAGTTGAGATTATAACAGTTTTAAAATCAATCTATTAAGGTTAAAACATGTACATAGATTCACAAAGGCTAAGACTAATATTACTATATTTACCACAGTGAAGATTAAGTAATAAAGTCTATTACTTAACGACTTTCATTCTCATAGAGACATCCTAGGGGGTAAAGTAAAGTGAGGGCAGGAAGAGGAAATTTCTTGTAAATCAAATTACAGGAAAGTTCTTTGAAAACTAGTTAGACAGTTTAAGTGAGTTTCCTTGAAGTCTAGACAGTAGAAAACTTAATTAGCTCTGAATAGGAGACTTGGGTGAATTTCCTTATCTAAAGACTAGATGGTAGAAAGTTTGTGTGGTTCTTTAGAAACTGAATAGAAGACTGTGAGAAAGTAGAGTGATGAGATTTGGGTTTTCCTCCATCTGGGCAGTAAAAGAGTATGTTCCAGTATTGCCTCAATATTGACTTTGTAGTTAACAGTCAATTGCTTTTATTAATCAGCCAGTTGTCAAATCACTTTTGACTTCAAGAGGAATTTCTCAGGCTGGTTCAGTGCTTGCTTGTCTGGGCCAGGTAGCGCCTTATGAGGCTAAGGCAATCCAGTTGTAAACTGAAGGTTGCTCAGAATACTTTGATATTATGATATACAAAAAAGGGAGGTCATAACATAAGTTAGTGTGGAAATTCTGATTTTTCAGAGCCCTTCCATCTGTATCTGGAATATGTCAGTCGATAGAGGTTGCATAGCTTGTGTCACATACCACTGCGCCTATCTCCAATCATGCCTGGTCCATACCCAGCCACGGTCAACCACCATCTGCCCTCAAGTCTATAAATTTGCCTTTCCTGGTCCTTTTATAAAGAAGGAATTTTGCAACATGCTGTCTTTTGACAGCATGGTATTTGAATTTCATTCATATTTTTGCATATATCAATACATTCCATTGTACAGATACATCCTATTTTGTTCATCCACCAACTGATAAATATTAGATTGTTTCCAGTGTTTCGGTTATTATGAATAATGCCACAAATATTTGAATTTAAGTCTTTGCAGATGTTTGCTTTCACATCTTTTGTGTAGGCATCTAGAAATAGAACTTCTGGGATATATGATAAGTTTTATTAAAAACTGCCTGTTTCTCAAAATACCTGTATTATTTGCTTTCTCATCAGCAATGTAAGAGAGCTGTAGTTTGAATACATTTCACAATATTGCCAGTCTTTTGGTTATAGTCACACATGTAAGTGAGAAGTGGTGCCTTCTTTTTTTTTTTTTCTAAGGATTTATTCATACAGAACTGGGGTACAGGTCAGAAGCACATGAGTGGTGAGAGGATTCACCAGAGGCAGAGTGGGGAGCAGAACAGGCAGATCCACTGAAATACACTGCTGAGGGCAGCAGCGGGCGGGTCAGGAGAGGTCTGCTGCGCCCTGTGGGTCACCTCCAGGGTGGGGATCAAACACGCACTGAAGCAGCTGCAGCTCGCTTACAGTGCTGTGCTTTAACCCGCTGCACCACCAGAGAGGACCCCTCCCTGTGATTTCATTTGCACTTCACAAATTACTAATGAGGTGGATCCTATTAGCTCTTTGTATACTGTCTACGGTGAGATGATTATTTACATCTTTCCCTTTTTAAAAACAAATTGGGCTGTTTTCTTATTGGTACGTTTCAATAACTCTATATATTGTGGATACAAGTCCTTTGTAAACGTAAAGATAAAATAAAAGGCAAACTGTTGAACCTCATGCCACTCACCATGAATAAACAGGCGTAATGTGGAAATTACACATCATACGAACATGAACCAAAAGAAATATGCGTTGTTATATTAACATCAGACAAAGGAGATGACGCACAAATAGGTGTCAACTTTGTGAGTAAAAACTCAGCTGTACCAAAAAACCCTCAACTGCACATGCATGCTTGTAGGCTATTTAAATATATGTTAGATCTCACAACTAAAAAATATGTTTAAAGGGCTCCAAGAATCAGGTCAGAAAAACTTCCTTTGAGATAGTGTTTTGTGACACCCAGAAATTTTTTAAAATTCTATAATGTGAAGCATATATTGTAAAGTATAACTGATTATTTTGTCTGGAAGCAATGAAAATCACACTCCTTTCATTAGATTTTTAGATGGTAAAGGCAAGTTGGGATCAATTGATGTATTTCAATCAATGGGTTTGGACAATCTCATCCCTATTTCTAGATGAATAGTATTCTTATTGCCTAACCACTCCCCCCAAGCATGTTTGTACATATTAGCATGGTTTACTTTTCTTTTGAATAATATATCCTCTTTTGGAAAGATGTTTCCTTGGTAACTATGATTACTCAAAATTGATGTAAAAATAGAAGCTTTCTTTTTGTCTCTCTGGCAAATCTCCATGACTGTTGCCTCCCAGCAGCCTAGATCTGGTTGTATCTCCTTTGGTCTCCTTCCTTCCCACTGCCCCACAGCGCTCACTTGGGCGACACATCTCAAGACCCCTCCTTTAAGAAAAATATCCCTGCCCCGCCATGAAGTTTCAGCACCGCGGAGAGCGCCACGAGCGTGGATCCCGTTAGCTCTTTGTATGTTTGTAGTCAGATGATTTTTTTTTT